AGAATATGCTTGGTTAAAGGTCACCTCAGTAACCAGTGTCGATTAAGTGTTAAGTGTCAGATTTGTTCAAAAAGGCATTTGAAATTTTTTTTGTCCTAGTCTTGAATGTAATAAGTCTAGTGAAATGCATAACCAGGAAAATGATGAGAAAAAAGAGAAAACAATCGATTCTTTGCATTCGCGTGCTACGAATGAAGTTTCCCTTCAGACCCTAGTTGTGAACATAGAGGGTAAGAATAAACGGCGTAAAGTTAGATTAATGATTGATACGGGTAGCTCAAAAAACTTATGTTTTAAAGTCTACTGCAGAAGAAATGGGTTTTGACTTGCAATGGGAGGAAGAATTTAGTCACTCTTTATTTGGTGGAAAGAAAACTGAAATTTATAAACATCAATGTTACAAGATTTATTTGAGTAGCCTTGATGGTAAATATTCGTGTAAATTAGATGCTGTAGACCATGATGTTATTTGTAATGATATTTCAAGCATAAGATATGGTTCTTGGATTCGCGAATTAGGAAATAAGGGAATACGCTTAACTGATACCCAAGGGAATCCAGGCCCTATTGAAGTACTGTTAGGGGCAGACGTTGCAGGGAAGTTATTTACTGGCAAACGAGAAGAACTAAGAACAGGTTTAGTGGCTATAGAAACAAAATTGGGTTGGACTTTGATGGGTAAAGTACCTCAATCCGAACATCAGCACAATGTAAATATGACTATAGTTTCTATGTTATCTCAAGAAGACCTGCCTATTTCATCGTTGTGGGACTTAGAATTAATTGGGTATCCTGAGATCCTGTTGAACAAAAAACTAAAGAAGAGTCAAGAAGAGCTATTATGGTTCATTTCCAAGAAACAGTTCGTCAATTAGAAAATGGTAGATACGAGGTTGATATGCCTTGGAAAGATTGAGCATGCAGTCTTACCTGACAATTATGACCTATCTTTGAAAAGACTCGAATCTACTACGAAGAAGTTGGAAAAAATCGGATATCGTGAAAGGTATCATGAAGTCTTTAATGAATGGCTGCAGGAAGGAGTGATTGAAGAAGTTCCCCAAAAGGAGTTGTCTTTACCCGTTGTTCATTACCTCCCACATCGTCCAGTCATTAAGGAAACGTCCTCACTATCTTCCATGAAAATTAGACCCGTTTTTGATTCTTCGGCAAAGCTTTCTAATCAGCCATCTCTAAATGATTGCTTAGAGACTGGAATTAATTTGATTGAAACTATTCCGTCTATTCTAGCAAGATTTCGCTTACATGAAATTGGTGTGATTTCAGACATCAGAAGAGCTTTTTTACAGATATCTCTAAATGAAAGAGATCGAGATTTTTTACGATTTCTTTGGTATGGTGATGATGGTAGAGTGAAGACATTTCGTCACACCCGTGTGGTATTTGGCATTACTTGTAGTCCATTTTTGCTGATGGCGGTTATTGACCTATCATTTATCCAAAGAAACGTGGAAAGAAAAATATTCTGAAGAAGTTCTTAAAAAATTACAAGATAGTTTTTATGTCGATAATTGCGTAACTAGTGTACAAAATAATGACGAACTAGAAATATTCATCGAATCTGCAACTAATGTAATGAAAGAAGGAATGTTTGATCTCAGAGGATGGGAAAGTTTTGGCATTCCTGCATTTTCAGAAAGTAAAACATCACCGGTATTAGGACTGGTTTGGGACAAAGATTTAGATACCTTGGAAATAGACACCGAATTTTTTTGAAATTTGATGAAAGAGAAAAAGTAACTAAAAGGAAAATGCTTTCACTAGTTAGTCGAGTATTTGATCCCATAGGTTTCCTTGCACCTGTTATGATTCAGCCTAAGATTTTGCTGCAGGTCGCTTGGAAGAGCAAAGAATCATGGGATGATGAAGTGAATGATGAAATAAAGAAGAATTTTTTAAAATGGGGAAAAAAACTGAAATACCTCAAAAATATAAAAATTCCAAGATGGTTAGGTGTGATGAAGGAATCCAATTTAAGTATCCATACTTTTGTCGATGCCAGCAAGACAGCTTATGCGGCATGCATTTTCTTAAGAAGTGAATCCAGTATGGGTTCAGTGACTGTTCAATTACTTCAAGCCAAATCACGAATAACTCCAACGAAGACTATTACTATACCACGACTTGAACTAATGGCTGCTACCATAGGTGCTAGGCTGTTTAGTTCTGTGAAGCAAGCTCTAAAACTTCCCAACATCAAGACTTACTTTTGGACAGATTCTTCCACAGTTCTTGTGTGGATAACTCGTCGAGAACAGTGGTCGGTATTCGTTACAAACAGAATAAGTGAAATTAGAAAATTGACAATTTCGGAAGATTGGTTCCATATTTCAACTTCCATATTTCAACTGACCAGAATCCAGCAGACATTTTGTCAAGAGGTTGTGGACCTAGGCAACTTCAGAAACGCAAGTGGTGGCAAGGGCCAGCCTGGTTGAAGAATCCGAAGGAGCAGTGGCCAAAGTCAGCTGTAAATATTAACGAAAAAGAAGTAGAGATAGAGAAACGAAAGTCAGTCATCTCTGCTAGTAACACAGAGCTAGAGTCAATTCCATTACAGTTAGCCAGAAGATTCTCTAGATTTTCAAAGATGATTAGGGTTATGGCTTGGATACTGCGTTTTCAACCAAAGGCCAAGGACTTAAGAAAATGTAAGGAACTTCAAAATGAAGAATTGTTAAATGCACAAAGGACTATTTTCCGTGTAATACAAAAGGAATGTTACTCTAATGAAGAAGAAACACGAAAAAATTTGAAAGGTCTTCTAATATTTGAAGATGAAGAAGGAATTTTACGATTGAAGTCCAGATTGATAAATGAGGAAGAATCGAAAGATTTTATTTCTCCAATAATTCTACCATCGAAACACCTGGCAGTGAGAAGATTTATAGCCCAAGAACATATTGCTAACAAGCATGCTGGGACATTAACTCTACTGACTATTTTACGGGAAAGATTTTGGATAGTGAAAGGGAAAAGAACTGTCCGGAGTGTTATCAAAGAATGCTTAACATGTAAAAGGCAAAAGGTAAAACATCTTGAGGTACCTTTTCCGCCTCTTCCAAAAGACCGAACAGAAGTAGCAGCAGTTTTTCAAGTATCAGGTGTAGATATAGCTGGACCTCTGTTGACTAAATCTAAACAAAAGGTGTGGATAGTACTTTTTACTTGCGCCGTATTTAGAGCTGTCCATCTTGAGCTAATACCTTCACTGAGTACCAACGACTTCATCCAAGCTATGCGTAGGTTTATAGCCAGAAGAGGACGAATTTCTGTGATGTATTCAGACAATGGTACTAATTTTACAGGACTAAATAATGCTCTGAAACAATTAGATTGGACTACAATTGAAAGTGAATTTAGAGTCAACGAAATTCGTTGGAAGTTTAACCCACCCTCCTCTCCATGGTGGGGAGGCTTCTGGGAACGCTTGATTGGGATTTTGAAAGATCTTTTGAGAAAAAATCTTGGACGCTCCTGTTTGTCTTACGAGGAATTGCAGACTCTCGTCTGTGAAAGCGAATCTATCATGAACAGCAGACCGTTAACTTACATATCCGAGGAACAAGATCTGAAGACCTTGACCCCCTCAATGTTTCTTCAGGACATTCCATTAAATGATGTTCCTGATTTGGATCAAATTGAAAAGACTAATATTGTTTTGAGATGGAGACATATTCAAAAGGTTCGTGAAAATCTAAAACGAAGGTTTAAAAGGGAGTATCTGGGTTTCCTTCGTTCTTCAGTTAACAAAAGAGAAGATAAAATAAATGTAGGTGACATAGTGTTAATTGGTACAGATGATAAAAAAAGGCTCCATTGGCTGCTAGGGAGAGTACTGGAACTCTTTCCAGGAAAAGATGGAATCATCAGACTTGTGAAACTGCGAACTGAAAAGGGAAACATATTAAGACCAATCCAACGACTGTATCCTTTGGAATTGACCCCAAATTACGAGCAAGTCGTATCGGAACCTCAGAAGGTTCCGGAAGTGGTAGCTGAAAATCCTGAGCTTAATACTGACTCTAATGAAACTGTTCGCGTGTCTCGCTCAGGACGAAAAATAAAACCAGTTAAAAGACTGGATTTATAAACTTCTAAACAAACTTTTGAACTTTCTGTGTTTGAACTCTAAAATATTGATTTCAATTTGCATTCTAATATTTTGAAATATTTCTATTATTATTATGTACGTTACGTTTGTTATCTCAAAATTGTATGTATGTATTATCATTATATTACTGTTTTGAGTTTGTATCCCCAAACTCAAGGTGGGGAGAATGTCGCGCCACTGTCGAACTCCATGAGAGGTAAGTTTCTCTGTTACGGAATGGCAACGAGAGAGATTGTTGTTCAGAAAAGATGGATGATCGAACTGCGTTGTAACGAGGATTGTACTAAACGAAATATATTAAAATCTTTCATCTGATCTAAATTTTAACAAACCGCTCATTTTCTCTTAAACTCACAATGTTCACGACAGTGGGCTTCAAAACTCTGAATTATTTCAATAATTTTTTTTAAAAAAAAAAAAAATTAAAATAAATTATATCTACAGCAATTAGTATCAAAAAATTGGGGACTTTTCCGCGCTCGTTATTACCGCTGAGCTGCGGTTTCTCCGATGGATTATGCCCACTTTTTGGTACATGACGCTCAAACAAAAGAATCTCTAAGGAGATTCTTTGGCTCAAACACAAATTGTAAAGGCGATGAACCAAAAGTCGCCTGCCAAACACTAGATTCTGTAACCCTACGTTTCCTGTTTTAACCAATCGGAGCAAACAGCAGCAGAAACGGTCTGTAGGCTTTGTGAATAAGCGAGCCACTCCTGCTGCTGCGAAGCTTTCCCTCTTAACAATACATATTCTTTGGCTTGGTGTCACAATTTCGCCAAGGCCTGATAAATCGCCAAATTTAGTCGCGGGTTGCGTTTCCTAGGGTGGAAGTAAAATTACGCAACCGGGTGATGAGCAAAAGTGAGGTTTGGGGTCTAAACGCTTGTGTATGAAAGCGCTGTATTTGCGGATAGGCCAAGGCCGAAAAATATGCCATGTATTATTAAAGAACTTGATGCCATACGCTACGCAGAACAGCAACGAAAATGTCTTTTTCATGAAAATTATGGTTGATATAATCTAAATGTTGGATAAAGATATGAACCTATACTAGCTACTATTCATATTTATTTTTAGGTAAACGCCGTAGTATTTAAAACTAGCGATTTTGTCGTAACTGGAAGCAGGTATCTGAAAAAATCCAGGATTTCAGAAAAATTTGTCTATAATGGTTTTGTGCAATAATTGAATCTTGAAACATATGAACTGATTTTGTTATAAATTTATATGAAGTTTTGTTGTTTTGCATCAAAGTACTTCATAGAATGTCTACTGTAAAATGTGGGAACGATATAGCACTTTTAAATAAGTAAAATTTTTAAACACTTAAGCTCTGGTTAACTAACAACTCTTGAAAAATTAAAGCTTCATGTTTCCATATATGCATGTATGGCAAAATTTCATAATTAAACGTATATATATATAATCGCACAGGAAATCATATGCCTGTGAATTGTAATAAATTGGTTTCACTGAGGTGTTCCTGGAAGTCAGGGCCGATATATAACATGCTGGTTGTCTTTTGTGTAATATGTAATGATACTTTTATAAAGCGAATCATCTGCATTGCATAAAAAAAAAAAAAAAAAAAAAAAAAAGTTAGAATGAAGCACACAGAAACTGCTTAAGGTGAAATTCCTGTTAAGCAGGCAGTTTTACATTTTTGTGGAGCATCAGCATCATCATGTACTTAGCAAGTTCTGTGATATAAGTGCTGTCAGTTATAGTTATCTTATATATTGCAGAAGCTTCAAATTCTAAGAGATATGTAATGAATCATTTCTGAAGTAAATATTTTAAAAGAGCACATGTATACCCATATAGAAGAGAAACCTCATGTGTGTGAGGTTTGTAACAAATCATTTAGTCAAAAGACAAATTTAAAACAACACATGTTCATTCATACAGAAAAAAAACCTCTTATGTGCGAAACGTGCAAAATGCCATTTACTCAAATGAGTAATTTACGCAAACATATTCTTATTCACACAGGAGAGAAGCCTCATGTGTGTGAAGTATGTAAAAAGTCATTTAGACTAAAAGATAACTTAAACAAGCATGTGCTAATTCACACAGGAGAGAAACCTTATGTTTGTGAGGTGTGTAAGAACTCATTTAGTCAAAAAAGTAGTTTAAACATGCATATGCATGTTCACTCAGGAGAGAAACCTCATGTGTGTGAGGTATGTAAGAGCTCATTTAGTCAAAAGAGAAGTTTAAACATGCATATGCATGTTCACTCACAAGGGAAACTTCATGTATGTAAGGTATGTAAGCATTCATTTAATCAAGAGATTGCTCTAAAGAAGCATTTGCTTATTCACACAGGGGAGAAACCTCATGTATGTGAAGTATGTAACAAGTCATTTAGACGAAAGGGTAATTTAAAGGATCATTTGCTTATTCACAGTGGAGAGAAGCCTCATATATGTGAAGTATGTAAGAAATCATTTAGTCAAAAAAGTAGTTTTAACATGCATATACGTATACACTCAGGGGAGAAACCTCATGTGTGCGAGATATGTAAGAAATTATTCAGTCGAAAGGGTCATTTAAAGGAGCATTTGCTTATTCACAGGGGAGAAAAGCCTCATGCGTGTGAAGTATGTAAGAAGTCATTTAGTCAAAAAACTAGTTTAAACACGCATATGCTTATTCACTCAGGAGAGAAACCTCATGTGTGCGAGGTATGTAACAAGTCATTCAGACAAAAGGATCATTTAAATGAGCATATGCTTATTCATACAGGTGAGAAACATCATGTGTGCAAGGTGTGCAACAAGTCATTTGGTGTAAAAAATTATTTAAACAAACATATGCTTATTCACACAGTAGAGAAGCCTTATGTGTGTGAAATATGTAACAAGTCATTTAGTGTTAAAAAATATTTAAACAGACATATGCTTATTCACACAGGAGAGAAACCTCATGTGTGAAGAAGTTATTTATTTGAAAGGCCATTTAAAGGAGCATTTTTTATGCATATTCACAGAGGAGAGAACTTCATGTGTGTAAAGAATATAAGAAGTGATGATTAGTTAAAAGATTAATTTAAACAAGCATAGAAACCTTGTGTGTAAGTTATGTAAAATGTGTAAGAGTGATTTAAATGTACATGCCTAGGAGAGCTATGTAAGTCATATGAACTGAAGAATTTAGAAGCAGTATATTTATCTGCACAGAAGAAAAACTTCCCATCTTTTTGAGCTGATGCTAAGAGCAACTTTTACTTGCTGATACTACAAGGATTTGTGTATGTTGTTTTATTATGTGAGGCCAAGTCTGTTTGGGTAAAGTGCAGACTTTGCTCACTTATTTGGTACTTTTTACAAGAGAAGAATTGGATTTTTGTCAAATCCCTTTGACCTTTTTAAGTGAAAATACATCGATGTGTACATGGACAAAGTCAAGGGAGTGCGCAAGGCTGAGTTTGTGAAATTCTCTGATTTTTTTTAAGTGAAAATAGGTCAATGTGTACATGGATACAGAGTTTCTGCATTTCTTAAAAATGCACCAAGCAGTGGGTGATTCTGCACTTTCTCCGTCTGTTCAATAACATCAAGCGACAGAATTGAATGCCTGCAAAATAATGCCTCACACTAAATCAGAGACAGAAATATAAAATTTGCCTACCTTTTGCATGAGCCATTGGGTAATTTTCTTTAATTTAATTCTTCTTACGAGTATTAATCGAAATGATCACTTCAAGTTTGTACAAAACATATTTTAATGTTAACAAACATATATTTATTATACAAGGAATTAAAAATGTGTAATTGAATTTTTAGGCAAATCAACCCAACACAGCATGCAAGTCTCTACTCTCCTCTTGTAATCTCCAGGTACCTGCAATTTCAGTTCTTAGTTCAAATATATCACTGTATAATGGTGATCTAACAGATGATACATCTTGAATTGCAGCATCCTGTGTGAAGTAAGTTAAACTTGGCTGCTTCTGATGTTAAAGCAAATGCCAATCATAGTTGTGCCATTAGTGATGGAAATATCTTTTTTGTGCCTATCATGAAATAATGTACTAGGTACTGAATGGTGAACAAATACTGAAGACCATGCCTATCCAGATCCAGTATCAGAAGCTTAAATATATAATATTCATAAAACCAGTACCTGAATTACCACAAATTTTGCTGGGAAAACTAAATATTTTCTCACAAATGTTTTCAGTGAAATTTTGAATGAGGCCATATTTGGATTAAAGATGTTTTTTTTCTTTCAGTGATGAGAGAAACTCAACTTTTAACTTATAAGAATGCACATATTTCATAAGCATGAAGACTTGCATACCAAAAGATTAGCTTAAGGGCTAGTAACTTTGGTAAGGCATTACCAGTGGCCCATAGTACATTGCTGGTGTCTCCCATACGTTTATCTGTACCCATACCAAAGGATTGCCTCAGTTTCATCTTGAAACTTATGCCCAGTTTTCAAACTTTGCCACGAATTATTATAAGAAAGTGAAGTCAAAAAATTTCCTCAAATCTATCCCATAACAATGTAAACTTTGGAGATAAAAAGAACCTAGCCATATCTGGGATTCTGTCTATTCTAGGGTTTTAATAATGGTTTAATTCTATGGTTTTTAATTAAAGTATTATCCTGTTCTGGAATGAGGCCTAATAGATTTTCGTAAAATAGAAAGCTCATAGAAATAACTAGACTTCACCAAATTATTTTAAAATATTATTTCTTGTAACTCATTAAAGTAACATTGATGTATTTTAATATGCTTATTTTATATAATAACTTTAAATTCTTAAAAATTATAGCCATGAATGTTTTCTTCTAAGCTATTTAGTCGTAAGTGCAAAATCAATAAAAATATTAAAGTTATTAAAATAGTAATTATTAAAATAAATTCTAAAAGTTTCTTATAAATGTTTCAACCTATGTATTTTAAGTTCTATTTAATTATTTGAAAAGTTTCTTAAGATGAAGAGTGAATTCTAATTAATACAAATGTAAAATGCAGATTATGGAATGAATTTTTTAAGTGCAGTTTAATACAAGGTTTTAGTGTAGAAAAGGGTGTTGGTTGACTTGTTGCCTAAAACAGACATTAGTACTCATTTTCTGGTAACCCAAAATCAATTCTTTTATTCCAGTGTTATGGTAACCATATTTTATTATTATTATTTTGGGGAAAGTGCAGAAGCGCCCACTGCTTGGCACGTTTTTTAAAATTGCCAACTTGGCACGCTCTCACGTCTTGTCCCCTGGATTTGCAACCCCTCCAGAAGACACTACGCAAGGCGTGACATTGACAATGGTGAACAGGTAAAATAAATACAAAATAAAAGTGGAACCAAAATTTTGAAAACTGAAAATCCTTTAAAAACAGCATAATAATTTTAAAAAACAAACATAGTAAGCTTCAAAAGCTTAAAAATCGTTACAAAACCCTGAAGAATTAAAATACATTCACCTATACAAATTTTAAAAACTGGAAATCCTTTAAAAAAACCTAATAACTTTAAAAACTAAAATCATTTCAAAAACATAGTAAGTTTAAAAAACATAAAATCCTTACAAAACTTTGAAAAATTAATACTTTCACGTCCAAAAAATGTTTAAAAATGAAAATCCTGTCCTTCCAAAAACATACAATAGTAAAAACTAAAAATCGTTTCAAAAACTTAAAATCATTATAAAACAGTGAAAAATTAAAATTCTTTCAAATAATTTTAAAAAATGAAAATCGAATCCTTCCAAAAACATAATAATTTAAAAACTAAAAATCGTTTCAAAAACATAGTAAGTTTCAAACACTTAAAATTGTTACAAAGCACTGAAAATACTTTCACTTACTGAACGTAAAAAAGGCTGTATCCCCCAACATCCTCACTTATTGTTTAAATTATTATTAGTGTGGCTCGGGAATATTGATGTCTGAAACATCATCCTGAAAAGGTGTTTTATAAAATTCTTCAGGTGTCGGATCTCGTCGAGTGGAGGGATAAATTCTTGCGATATCAGCAAAAAATAATTTTAAAACATCATTTTTAGCGGAGTGGCCATGATGTTTTCTCCACATAAATTCATACAGATATGAATCAAACATATCTTCAGTTCGATATATAGAACTTCCAAGAAATCGTTCGATTCCTGCCCACACACCCTTAATGCTATTAGTATGTGCAACTGTTACTGGGCACATGTATGTCAAACTGTAGTTTACCTCTAAATGCCGAAATCCTTCATCTTCCAGACATTTATAGGCGGCCCAACAGTCGAAAATCATTGTGGCGCCAGGCAACACCCATTCACTAATTACATCAAGCAAGCAAGTACTCATTCGATTCGGAACCACTCTAAAAAAAACATCTTTGTGTATCTCAATTCCTCCAAACATCCACCTTCCTTTCACAAGCGTGCCTCTTCCATACTTCATTTTCACAAACTGACTTTCGTCAATCTCAACAACCTTTCCCACTTCTCCAATCTTGCAACTATCCCTCATCATAACATGAATACATATTTCCGTACGAAAATTATACCAATCGACTTCCGTGTGTTTAGAAACATTCAGGTCTTTGATTGTGTTGCTTAATAAATAACTTACAGGTTCTAAAAGACTGAAACAACACTTTTTAACACCAACATTTTATCTTCGCATCTACTACAGTCAAAAGTCTTTAATACGGACATCCATAATCCGGAATGATCTATAATAAAAACCTCAAAGCTACAAACTTTCTGCGCATGCATAAATGCTGTTTATGCATGTGCATAATGCCTTTACGCATGCGCATAATACATTTACGTATGCACATTTAATGTATAATGGATGGTATAAGCTAAGCTAAAATTATCTAATTATCTATTTCAGTTGATGTTGCAGATTGCGTTGTTCCTTAATCTTCGAATTGGATCCGGCTTATTATTTTTTGCAGACTGTTAGAGCAATTTTATAAAAATTTACCTTGAACTTTCGATTATGTCAAAAAGAGTTTCTGAATCTGGAGCTGTCAAAGGATCAACAAAGCGAAAGCATGTTTTGATGTCCATCAAACAAAAAGTAGAATTGCTGCAAAAAAATGGAATAAAGCCATATCCTTTGTTTCTCTAACCATTCCGAAATCTGTTTATCAATTTCACACTGCTCTGCGCGGGGGGGGGGGGGGGGACGTCGTGGCGTGCAATGAACTGGAAGTTGATCTGTCAGCACTATCGTTATCTTCAGGGCAGATGTTTTTATTTTATTCAGCTTACAATTCCTTACTAAATGTAGTATTTCATCTCGATGTACTCCGTCTCTTTGATATGATTTAAATCAAATTCCTTGTCATTATAAATATCACATATACACATCAAATACTTTTCTGGTTGCAATTTTATAATATCGACTATGCGTAATGTATGCTTTACGCATGCACGCATTGAAAGAAATATTTAATAAAGTAAACAAATAAATATTAAGCTTTTTTTTTTTGTAAATTTTGATACCCTTTAGATCATAATTGCTCTTTATTTCATAAATTACGGTTTCATATTTCTAATTTTATAATTTCTGCATGCCATCTTACTAGATTTAAATTGATGATCTATAATCCGGAATCGCCGAAGTCCCTACGAGTCCGGATTAAAGGCTTTTGACTATATACAAATTTACAACACAACTGTAAGAAAATTAAGGTGCAGCTGAAATGTATCGGCGCATGCACGGTGATGTATGTTTTTCGTCTGCCGAGTCTCTAGGAAGGGGGCCTGAAAAAATGATTCAGTTGATAATAAGGTAATCAATTCCATATGGATAGGACGATAAACCGCACAGGTTGTTAAGTAAACCGATATCATATGAAGAAGCAAGTCAAAATATAAGAAACGTATCTTATCACATTTTTTATTGAAACTTAACAACACGTGCACAACATTACAATGACGGCATCCAAAGCTCGCACGCAGAGAGAGAGAAACTTGGTGTTGCCAACGTGGTAAATATAAATGTACCAAACTAACATGCCTCCTTACATTTATATTTACTAATTACAAATAAACATAGATATAAGCAACCTTTTCATCTTTACCATTTACAATTAAGCATAGATATAAACAATAACATTCAACACTTAACACAAATTATTTTAAAAAAAAAAAAAAAAAAAAAAAAGGTTTCTTTCATTAACTTAAATGTTAAAATCAAAGTTAAACACAATTTAGTTTACATAAGGACATTACCAAAATCTATTTCATTTCAAGCAAAAAATATTTAAATAAACATTACTTAAATAAACAGTATACAAAATTTCAATTTGAATTTCATAAATTTAATCTTTCCTTAAAGACTTAGTAAAGATATCTGCAATATTTGATTCTGAATCAATCTTTACAATTTTAATTATTCCATTTTGAACATTTTCGTGAACATAATGATATTGAACTTCTATGTGTTTTGAATTTTTAGTGAAGTTCCCATAATTAGCAATGGCAAAGCTCCTGAATTATCTTCATAAATTTTAATGGGGTGAGTTATATCAGCAAAAACATCATTCACAACATTTTTTAAGAAATTAATTTCTGTCACAGCCTCAGATAGAACAATAATTCGGCAAAAGTGGAAGATTTTGTCACACAATTTTGCTTTTTGGATTTCCAGTAAATTGGATTACCAAATAATTCAATAACAAACCCAGTAGTTGACTTTCTGTCAACAATATCACCTGCCCAATCAGCATCAACATAACAATTCATAATATCAGTTTTAAGATTTTTACTATAGGTTAATTTTAGATGTGTTAAGTACAAATACTTTAAAACTCTCAAAGCATATTTTAAATGTGTCTCATCATAACAATTTTGAAATCTACTTAAATAATTTACGCTGAAAGATATGTCTGGTCTAGTACCATGACTAATATACAAGAGTGCTCCTATTAGATTTCTATATTTGACATTTTGATTTAAATTAGATTGGCTTAGTTTAAGAATAGTCTCCATTGGTGTATCATAAAGCTTTAAATTTTCAATGCCATACCGTTTAGCTAAAGATTCAATATAATTTTCCTGACTTAGTGTTAAAATATTACTTTTCTCATTATCATATTCAATATCAATTCCAATGTAGCTTTTTACTTTATTTAAATCCTTCGTTTAAAATTTATTATGTAGTTGTTCCTTAATATCATTAATTACCTGAGTATCTTTGCAACATATCAACAAATCATCAACAAATAAAAGAATATATACAAATACATCATTTTCAGATTTACATAAAGACAATAATCATATTTACTTCTACGAAAATCCTAGACTCTCAATATACTCGTTAAAACACTCATACCAAGCATGAGGGCTTTCTTTCAACCCATATAGTGCTTTCTTTAATTTATACACTCTATTCGAATTATCATTATAGCCTTGTGGCTGTTTAACATAAACCTCAGACACAACATAACCATTTAAAAAAGGCAGTCTCAACATCCATTTGATGAATATTTAAATTATACTGACAAGAATATGAAAGTAACAATTTTAAGGTTTGCATCTTAATGACAGGGGAGTAAGTATCCTCAATACTATCTTTTTGCTGGAAACCTCGAACCACTAATAAAACCTTGAACCACTAATCTAGCTTTAAAAACATTACCTGGTTTTCTTTTGAATACCCACT